GATTCAAATCCACATGCTGTCGAGCCCGATGCTCATCAGCCCAAGTCGAACACTTGTATCCGACCAGGGACGGCCTAGACGTCTGACCAGGCTGGGGGTCAGGGCGACGAACAATCACATTCCCAGGGTCAGTGAAACTCGCCGTGATGATTGCGTGATCGGATCATCTACTGAACTGCTTCTTCCCACCCCTCTTGAAACACCACTTCACCTCCAGATCCGAGAACTCCCAACGATTCGGTTTTTTTGCGTCTTTGCTGGGACCGTCTTGGCCACTAAGGCCAGGTCCAACAAAGTATCAGGCGAAACAGAGCCTCTTATTCATCACGCAAGCAGTCCGCTCTTATACCACACAGCGAAGCTGAAGGAATGAAGAGAAACGCATGCCGCAATGACACAATCAAACGCAAAGCACACAAAGAAATGAGTCAGTGAACAGCGAAGCTGTTGGAATAAACAAGAACACAGATAAAGAAGAAACAATGTGTGACTTATCCCTGCGAATGATCAAAGAAGGTCTGCACTACCTGTGTGAGCACATAGCATACGCGCTCCGCCGCTGATAGTTCCGTATCTGTAACAGTGGCGCTTGGTGGCAGACACCAAGCATCAAGATACACATCCTTGAAAATGATGTCGGTCCGCGAGAAGTTATATTTGTTTCGCAGACCAATCTGTATCCACACACACCACAGGCACTTCCGCGGCTACAAAAGCCCCCATCAAAGCTGGCTTTGATAAGGCAAGGATAATGTTACGACGTGAGAGCCAGGAGACCTGGCCAAGAACTGAACATGCACACACTGAATTCTTAGAGCACAAACAAAAGAGACTATGCAATCACAATCAACAATCCAATACAATAATTACGGAATGAAAAGAAGCACTCGAAGAATACGAAAATCTACCACAGAGGCCAAACCTGAGATTTACACCTTCGTTCACAGTCCGTCAACGTCCTACCGAACCTATACACTTCGTCAAACACGATGTTGGCGCCTTTAGAGCTCTTAGCAGGCTTGGCACTGCTATGATATCGTTGGCCTTTGCCTCTGCCTTTGCGGTGCCCTCGTACATCCCCTTTTCCATCAGAACGCTTGGAATCCGGAGGAACAGCTTGGAACTCCTCCTCCGACTGACGTACTGTCTGTGTCGTAACGGCCGCCTCCTCCTTGGGTAGCACAGTCAGGCAAGCATCATCCGTCTGCACTCCTGAGTCAACAAGAGAACGACAAGAAAGAGTCTCCGAGATAGTCGGAACGGTAGCCTCCACCTCCTCCTCCGCCAAGCGTGTATCAACCGTCTGCACTCCAACATCAACCAGCGATTCAGAAGCCTGCACTCCAATACCTACATCAACCAGCGATTCAGAAGCCTGCATACGGCAAGAAAGATTCTCCGAAACAGTCGTAATGTCAGCCTCCTCCTCCTCCAAACTGCGTTTAACAACAGGTGGATCGCGCAACAAGAGATAATCTAGAACCAAATCGGCAGTCGCCCGTTCCAGCCCTGGTGGTGGGAGATACGTAGGTGGCACCAAACCATCCAGAGGCAAACGAATAGGTAAATGCACACAGTATCCGTTTTGAACAGCCAGCGCCCGACGCATGATGCGAGCACTTGCACTCCGTACGTGTGGCATAGCGAAAGATTGCAGAGACTGCCTCGGAAGCCCCAGCAAAACAAATCAAATGAAGACCACTCAAGGCGATCAAACGTGTCAAATGAATGGCAGTGCAATATCACTCTAGGCGACAAACGTGTGAAACAAATCAATTGCAGACCACTCAAGGCGATCAAACGTGTCAAAAGAATGGCAGTGCAATATCACTCTAGGCGACAAACGTGTGACTCCCTGACGCGCACTCGATCCCACTGGAGGTTACCCAGGCAGAGGGGATCAAATGTCACGCGCCTTGAGCCGAGATTTTCTTGAGCCGGTAGCCTCCACCTCCTCCTCCGCCAAGCGTGTATCAACCGTCTGCACTCCAACATCAACCAGCGATTCAGAAGCCTGCACTCCAATACCTACATCAACCAGCGACTCAGAAGCCTGCATACGGCAAGAAAGATTCTCCGAAACAGTCGTAATGTCAGCCTCCTCCTCCTCCAAACTGCGTTTCACAACAGGTGGATCGCGCAACAAGAGATAATCTAGAACCAAATCGGCCGTCGCCCGCTCCAGCCCTGGTGGTGGGAGACACGTAGGTGGCACCAAACCATCCAAAGACAAACGAATAGGTAAATGCACACAGTATCCGTTTTGAAGAGCCAGCGCCCGACGCATGATGCGAGCACTTGCACTCCGTACGTGTGGCATAGCGAAAGATTGCAGAGTCTGCCTCGGAAGCCCCAGCAAAACAAATCAATTGAAGACCACACAAGGCGATCAAACGTGTCAAATGAATGGCAGTGCAATATCACTCTAGGCGACAAACGTGTGAAACAAATCAATTGAAGACCACTCAAGGCGATCAAACGTGTCAAAAGAATGGCAGTGCAATATCACTCTAGGCGACAAACGTGTGACTCCCTGACGCGCACTCGATCCCACTGGAGGTTACCCAGGCAGAGGGGATCAAATGTCACGCGTCTTGAGCCGAGACCTTGAGCCGGTAACGATCAGGTTACCGCCGGGGCCCTAGTAGAACTCTTAACACGCAAATCAGTACTCAGACTACGAGGAGAGAGAGAGTTCTCGAACGTCAGCTTGAAACCTCGAGAAATGTATTTCGGGTTTAATACGACGTCGGTTCCTCCACGTCTTTTGACAGCAATGGAAGCCGGCGGTAAACCGTCCACCAGAATACCGCCGGGACCCTCGTAGAGCTCTTGACACGCGAAGTACCCAGAATACGACGAGAAAGCTCCCTTGAATATCATCTAAAAACTAGAACATATATATGTGTAAATATATATATGTTCGGTTTTATACGAAGTTGGTTCCGCCGAGTGATTTCATAGTAGCACTACAGCTAGGAGCCTGAGAACTTGACAGGCCGACGCGCCAGAATCTACTACAAGTGCAAGAATACTGGAGCCGTGTAGCTTGCTTCCTGCTTGAGAAAAGTTCACGAAACCCTTTATCATGTGGGAAAATGCATCCTGACGGCCGACGGTTCCGCCTAATGTTCGAGAGCTGCGCTGCAGCTACAGCCCTGAGACTTTCACCATCAAACGACATGAACGACTACAAGGAATATAAATCTGATCTTCCAAAACGAACGGCCAAATCTCTCAAAACCTCCGAAAAACCGACCCCAGGTTGACACATTGTCCGCCCTGGCCGGGCGGGCCAACTAGCTCCAACCCGCGCCGGACTTCCTCTAGCTCATCGATGCCGAAGAGCCCCACGAGGTATATTGCAGCTACAGACCTGAGAACTCAACAGATAGACGCGGCAGAACCCACTACACATGAAAAAATTACTGGCTCTCAAAAAGAATGGTCACATCTCTCAATCTGCGAAACACCGACCCCTGGTTGCCACATTGCCCGCCCGGGCCGGGTGGGCCAACTGGGAGCCGGCAGTAAGCCGTCAACCAGGTTACCGCTGGAACCCTCGTGGAGCTCTTGACACGCAAAGTATTGCTCAGTATACGACGAGAAAGCTTCCTTGAATATCAGCTTAGAAACTCGAGAAATTTATTCGTTCGGTTTTATACAAAGTTGGTTCCTCCACATCTTTTGGCAATAATACTTGGATCACAGTGTGTTTTCGCAAGTAGATCATTGGGATATATAATGATATAACATGATTGTATACACACTGCATGCAGGTTGTATGTTGTGCAAACATTATACATGATACCAAACCAACATCGCGCAAACGCTAACACATACGTGTGGATTCTAAACGGGCGATGCGTTTGTCACTGCAAGAACCTGTTAAAGTTTAGTTGGGCAACCTGCTTCGCGATGATAACCTGCACTTTCTCAGATGGTTGCGAATATGATACATTGTGGATACGACCCCCGCTATCCACATTGCGAACCAGGTTCTGTAAATAGGTTAGCGGCGTTCCCAAACCGTTTGTTTTCAGAGGCCGTGACATGATAATTTCTGGGTGTGTCTTGGGATTTCGGGATGAATCCAACGATTTTGGGCTCAAAACCTGTCGCGTGGCGCCTCTTTCATACAACTGCTTCGCATCACGCGACCCCCGTGTGGACAGCAAGCTACTGTTGACGAGATGGCGGTCGCTTCTTCTGATCCGCCAGATTTTGGACTGGAGCCTTCGATGTTGAAGGAGTTGGAGGCGATTGCTCCGCATATCAAAAAGCGGGCGGAGGACTTGGTGGACGTTCACGTGGGCCAAAAACAGAAGAGGTTCGGTAGGGAAACGGACCTTGGACTCACGCACTGGCTCACTCTCCACAATCACTTGCGCGATATGGGGCTGCATTGCGTAAGTGGTGGTGGAGAGACAGCCAAGGCGTGGATTCGGGCTTGCTTCCCCCGAGGGCGGAGGTCGACCACATCTTGTCTCAGCTGGAGTCGGCGGGCTTGGCATATCGCGAGCAGAACGTCATGGTCGACAGGTTCGCGCCGCACCCATCGAACAGGAACACTCAGGGACCCGACCCGCTCAACGTACAGACTCTCTTGTCCAAGATGCTCCGAGATGGGTTTTCGCACGCCTTGACCACGGACGCCACGGCATTCGAGGTCAGTCCGAACCGCGACACTTTTTCCAAGCAGATGGAATTCCAGAGCATCTTGGAGTCGAACAGTAACGGTTTGATCGCCAAGGTCAGCAGGCAGGACGTCAGGTTTCTTACAGTGGCAGGGTCTCACACAGTTGCTAGTATCAGGGCCGTGGCCCATCAGGTGAAAGCGTCGGCGGTGTTGGAGCCAGTTTCAACAGAGGATGGCCACATCTCGAAGGACAAGGTTGCGTCGGAATGTCAGAGTTTCTCAGATCCCTTGCAGAACGGGATGTCCTTCAGAATGGCATGGCCCTGGCCTACCAGCCATGATCGCTGATGCCATGAACAAGGTACACGACACGTTCCAGGAGAACACCCCCGCGCAGACGTTGAAGGGCATGTTCTCGAGGGCCCAGATGAACATGAAGTTGTACGATGGAGACGCGAAGTGGGATCTTATCGCTGCAGACTTGGAGCGCGATTCGCCGAGTTACGCAGGCCAGGGGAAGGCGATGTGCGATTTCATCAGGAATTGGGCAGGCGGCGCTGACGGGCAGTTCTTGGACGAGTTGTGAGATTTTTCCTGTTCCTTGTCATACCGCAGGTTTGTTGGCGGTGTCACCTGGAAACTACTTGCAGGCGCGGGGTTCTCGCAAGGCCCTCGCTGCGTCCTGGCCATGGCGAAAGCCGCGCTGACTGCGCCAGATACGTCTGCGCAACGGGGCGAGTCTCGTCTTTTCAACTCTGCCGACGTTGATTCCATCAAGGGCGCCAAGAAGGTCCAATGCATCGAGGCGGAGGCAATGTTCAAGTGCGCGAGGGAGTTCGTGCTTCCGCTGGGGGGCACCCCGAAGTCTGCGAAGATCAAGTTGCTCGGAGACCTCGAAATCAGGACAGTGATGACAATCCATGGGAAGAAAAGTCGCAGTCACAAGTCCTTCGAGAACGTCAGCGCCACTCGCCAAGAATTTCTCAAGGACTTGTACGAGCTCGACCCTTCTACCAAGTCTTTGACACCACCATGGGCGTTCGAGGGCCACGTGAGCAGCAGCAGCAACAACGCACCTCAGCTCAGGGAGTTCACCGAGAAGGGGCTCAGCTTGCGCGAGATCCAGGCCATGGGCTGCCAGGAGGGCTCCACCGTCGAGCTGAAGGGGGGGCGTATTCATCCGAGTGGCGTCCGCTACCACGTCATTAAAGAGATGGGCGATGGCCACGTGTTCCTGGACCACGGCATGAAGGACGTCGGGTGGTTGATGATCCCATTCGGCCAGCTCGCAGACGAGTGGCAGGCGGCCCGCTTTGCTGATGCTTCGCCTCCATCGCTGTGCATCGCCCGTTTGGTTTTCAGTTGCGCGAGTGCGATCGCAGTCAAACGTGCGCGTGCGTGCTCAGGTTTACGTGCGAGCTCATGTGACGTTGTATGTGTTTGCGCCGCGGTGCATGCATATGCGTAAGTAATACGCACGAAGACGGGGGGGATATGGAGGAGGAGAATGAGGAGTGGGAGGAGGAGGAGGAGGAGGAGGAGGAGAGGGGAAAGGAGAAGGAGCAGGGCAATGGGGAGAAAGAGGAGAGACGGAGCAGGAGGAGGAGAAGCGCAGGGAGAGCAGGAGGAGTAGGAAGAGGAGGAGGAGGAAGAAGTGGAGGGGCAGGAGGAAGACCCTCCGCTACGCCCAGTCCACCGTTCGTTTCGTCGTCGCGCTGCTCCTCGCTCTCAGCCGTCGCTTTCCTCGCCCCTCCCCATCCTTCCAACGAAGTCCGCCGCCGCCGCAGGTGGCCGTGAGCAACCAGGTCCTATCCCTGAAGATGAGCTCGGTCGATCCCGAGGCCATCCGCGCTGCGCCCCAGGGAGGGTGAGCAAGGGGGGGATGAGGATCAGGAGGAGGGAGGAGAGGCAGAGGGAGAAGGCGGAGGCGAATGAGGTGGAGGGGGGAGGAGGAGGAAAAGGGAAGGGAGGAAGATGAGGACGCGACCCCACCCTCCTTCCCCCCCCCCCCCCCCCCCCCCCCCCCCCCCTCCCCAACCTCCCCAACTTCCCCTCGCCCCCTCTCCTCTGGCGCCCGCGGGGTGAGGCGTCAGCGGTTTGCCGTGGCAAATCGGCTTGTCGCCTCCGTGACCTTCCTTTCCCCCCCTTCCCCCCTCTCCCCCCCCCTCCTTTCCCTCCTCCTCCCTCCGTATGTAGGCCGAAATCGAACCTCCTCCTCCCTCCTTTCCCTCCTCCCCTCCTTTACATCCTCCTCCCTCCTTTCCCTCCTCCTCCCTCCTCCCCCCTCCTCCTCCCTCCGCCCCCTCCTCCCCCCTCCTTCCCCTCCCCCCCCCCCCCCCCCCCCCTCCCTCCGTAAGTCGGAGTCGAATGATGAACAGGAGGCCGAGGGCGAGGAGAAGGAGAGGGAGGAGGGTGGAGATGAGAAGGATGGAGGAGGAAAAGCGGGAGCGGGGGGAGGAGACGGACGGGGAGAGGGAGGAGAGCGCCGAGGGAAGGCCGACATGCTGCGAAGGAGGAGGGGGTGGGAAGATGGGGAGGGGGAGGGGCAATGAGGTGAGGAGGAGGAGCATGAGGAGAAGGAGGGAGAGGCGAAGGTGGAGGGGGAAAAGGAGGTGGAGGAGGAGAAGGAGGAGGAGGAGGAGGAGGAAGGGGAGGATGAGGGCGGATGGCGATGCTGGTGATGATGATGATGAGGAGGAGGAGGAGGAGGGGGAGATGGAGCAGGAGGGCGAGGAGGGGGGGATGGAGAACGAGGAGAAGCAGGAGCAGGAGCAAGAGAATGCACGTGCATTGCAAAGCAAATCCCGCACCGCTTGCCAATCGAATGATGAACGAAGACGCGATGGGTGAGAGAAAGAGGGAGGTGAGAGGGAGGTGGGAGAAGCACGTTAGGAAGAAGGGGGGGAAATACAAAGAAGGAAGGGATAATAAGGGGACGTGCGCAAGAAACGAGGCAGTGAGAAGGTCACTAAGAGGGTGCGGGGAGGCAGGGCGGAGGGCGACACGATGTCTACAGGGGGAGAGGAGGGTGGGGAGAAGAACACGAAGTAAACCGTCGTTTTCGCGCCACCTAATCTGGGCGCGCCCGTTTTCTCTGAGGCCTACCTCGGAGCTTTTGGGGGGAAGGGGGAAAGGGGCACGGGGGGGTGCAAGACGCCCCGCGGTGTTGGATTTGCGCTGGCCCGAAAACCCCCCGCCACCCCCCATTCCCGCCTCTCAGCCGTGATCCTTCCTGGCCCTCCGCTCTGCCGATTCATTCGGGAAGCGCGGGGGAGGGGGGAGTGTTTTTTGAAGTGCCCGATCGGGGGACGGAACAAAGGCTTGCCGCTGGCGATCGCTTTGGAATTGCGCAGCATCGGGATTTGCACTTTGATGGCTATATCATCAGAAGACCCGCATTGCAGCTTCACGACGCAATCTTCGGTCCACCACTCCATGTTCGCTGCCGTCGAATCGTTCGCAGCGGGCTCAGCGACAAAGGGCACGGCAAAAGAGTTCGTCGAAATACCTAGGCAACACGATCTTGGGAACAATATACACTTTGAGCTTGACGGTCCCTTTCCCCAGTATGCTGGAAAGGCCCCTCACTCACCTCAAGGGCGTCCGAGGTGACCTTCTCGCCAGCTCTAACGTCGGCCGAGTTAAGTGCAGAAAACTGACAGCATCTCTGAAGATACTCGAACTGATAGCACCTCTGAAGATAATTCGAATAATACATGAAGATGACTCGAACAGCCGATCCCGCCGCAACGCTTTTTTGCATAAATATTTACCGATCGAGCTGAGGTTAAGATGGCGAACGGGAATAAGATCGAATATGGTCAGAAGAAATACTGGCGCCGGCTGAGAACCTCCAACCTGGTCCTCGTAGAGCTCCACAAGAGTGCTCAGAGTCGAAAGAGAGAGCTTCTAGAAGCATTTCTCGAAAATTGATTTTTTTTTCGTGCCAACATGAAGATAGTTCCGCCAAGTGATTTGATAGTAAAAGTGTAACTACAGAGCTCATATTAACACAGAGAGGCCCTCATGGTCGTTTACAGGGGCGAAGAATCTGCTTTCTCAAATCAAGTATCAAATTTCGATCAAAAAATTGCAAAACCACCCAAAATTGATCACTTTGTCCTTTCTGGCCGGGTCGAACACTAGCCCCACTCTGAGCTGGAATTCCTCTAGCTCATAGATGCCGAAGAGCTCTACGAGATACTGAAGTCCTAACGAATTGTTGGATTCCGAGAACAAAATTCTCAATCGACGGCGCCGGCGTTGAACCGTCAATGCGCGGAACCTCGTAGAGCTCCTTTGACGCAGTGCTCAAAGTCAAAAGAGAGAGCTGCTCGAAGCATTTCTCGAAAAAGCGAAAATTGTTTCTCTTTTTTTCTCGTGTCGACATAAAGATCGTTCCTCCAAGTGTTTTGATAGTAAAAGTGCGCCTGCAGAGCTTATACTAAGACAGAGAGGCCCTAATAGTCGTTTACAGGTGCGAAAAATCTTCTTTATCGAAACGAACTTTCAAATATCTTTCAAACTGGAACCGGCGGTAAACTGTCAACCTGGTTCGTTTGTTTGTTTGGACTCGCGTTCCCAGCTGAGTGCAGCTAGGCGAGGACCGGTCCCGCTCTTTACCGCCGGGAATCTCGTGGAGCTCTTTCCTTGCACAAAGATCGGGAACACATGGAGAAATCTTCTGGAGCGAGAAACAAAAAACTCGAAAAAACACGTTTTTGTTTTACTCGCCATAACCCACTACAGGTGCGAAAAATCTGCTTTCTCAAAATAAATTGTCAAATATGCTTTAATTTTTTGCAGAACCACCCAAAAGTTGTGATTTTTTTCCTTTCTGACCGGGTCGCCCAACTAGCTCCACCCCGCGCCGAAATTCCTCCAGCTGATCGATGCCGAAGAGCTCTACGTGGTTGATTTTCGCTCAGTTCCTGGAAGTCTACTCATGCAAAAATGCATCGAGAGAGCTGAGCTGCTGTCAGAGAGGAGTTTATATGCCAATACGACGCGCAAAATCTGCTGTCTCAACGAAAATTGTCAAATATATTTGAAATTTTTGCAAAATCATACAAAAGTTGTCACATTGTCCGCCTCGACCAGCTGGGCCAACTAGCTCCACCCCGCGCCAGAATTCCTCTAGCTCATCGCTGCCGAAGAGCTCTACGAGGCACTTGGTAGAGTCCAAAACCCGAAGAGAATAGAGACTCTTGGAAGACAGGAACTGGGCGCCGGCGGTAAACCGTCAACCTTTCTTACCGCCGGGGGACTCGTAGAGCTTCCTGACAGTATATAGTGTGGAAAAAAACTTGAAGAACGACTACTGTTTCAGCCCAAGCGATTTCAGACCTCTCAAGATAACTCTAACAAAAAACAAACAGCTTCGCAACCCAATTCGAGTATCAAACCGAGTTCGCCTGATAATTCTGGATGCGATAGGTGTGCTTACCAGCTCTGTGGCTGCCCTACAGCTCGAGTTAAGTACAAAATACCGACAGCGCGTGACAAGATGACTCGAAAGGGCCGTTCCCGCTGGGACGCTTTTTGGCAGTAAAAGGTACCCGATCGAGCTGAGATCAAGATGGCGAG